GGGCCAAGCATTTATTGGGTTCATGCCAAGAAGTGTAGTGAAAGTTGTATATATTGGCTTTAATATAAAGTTCACATTCAATATAAAATTAATTTGAAGTAAAATAAATTTTTTTAATATTTAAGTCACTCTTTTTTTTATATATATTTCGATAAATACGTACCACTCAACTGACCCTTTACGTTTTTTTCATAGGTAACTGTGTCAAGCTTGCGTCTCTTCAAGCAAATCTCTTTTGTTCCTTTCTTTTACTTTTCCTTTTATTTCTTAATTCTAAAACAATCTACATGTGTGAAATGGAGGAACGATGATCTTTTCTTGTCATTGTCAGTGGCCAGATTTTTTAAGTTCCCAAAGAATACATGACAATAATGTAAAGTGTTCAAATTCTTTGCTTTATTCCCGTTCTCTTAACCCTTTTGAGTACGTTGTTAACTGCTGCCCTCCCTAGTTGAAGCTTTATCTACTAACATCCTTTATGTTCTATTACTACTGTGCATGAAGATTCAAAAAGCAAGAAAAGAGGTAGGGCAACTGCATCAGATGAACATTCTAGGCTTGGTAAGATAACCAGCCGAAAAGCTAAAAGAATATCTGCCAAGGAAGCTAAAAACTTCGCAGTAAGAGAGACAAACTAAGAATCAGCAAAGCTTTGGTAGGACTTTTACTTGGAACACATTGATATATGAAACTTCTTCAACAACATTATGCGCATTTAACAAAACTCTCTTTTGTTGTGAATTCTCTCCTGAAAACATGATCTCTCATGCTGTGACTGATTCCTCTGAATTGTCTATCTAATCATGCGATGAAGATGTTATATAAAAACCATTAGATGAATGAATACATTGTGTTAGTGAGGAGATTATACCAAACACAATGTGTCTGTCTTGCAAGTACTTGGTTCCTTAAACCCAAACCTTTGACCTTACCATGTTCGGAACTTGGATTATTTAGTATTTTACCTGCATATCTTAGTAGTCTTTACTGACAAGTGACAGACTCTAATATAACAGTTCTTTAATTTCTTGTTTGAACTTGATGCAACTTGCTCCATGCTATGTTTCTAAACTATTAAGATTAACTTAAAGCCATCCGGTTTCTAACCCCCACAGCGCTATGTTTCGGTTTCAAAAGCCAGAAAACCTGCAGTTGCATTGAAGTTAGAAGAAGCCGAAAGGAAGTCAATGAATGATGGGATGAGATTTTATATACGGAGGGGTTTGCCAAAACCAGAGGAATGTATGTCACAGGCAGGTAGTACAAGAGAGAAAACGAAGGCCCGTGCTTATTAATGGATATGGTCTGTTTGATTTCCCACACTAAGGTCCACCTAAATTGAACCCTCGTCGAAAATGCCAAAATCCTCTTCAATGATCAATGTAATGTCACTCATGAAGTTTTTTTGGGTGTTTTTTCAGCAGTAGTCTTTTCGTTAAAGTGAAACAGAGAGACTTCTCCAGGTAAAGTACAAACTTCACATGCGGTAGGGAAGAAGAGAATAGAAAATAGCTTTCCCCAGTAGTTAGAACTGCTGAACATCTATACCTCCCATTATTGCTTTCCGCTTGCACTTAAGATAGCCTTCGAATGGGGAAAGATTTGGAAGAACCCATGTGGGGGAATTTATGAACATTTGATCCTAATAAATGCATTCCTCTCCTCCCATTCTGAAAATTTTGTTTTCCCTTTCATTTTTTTCCCTTTTTGGGCTGAACTTTGTTTTCTCTTTCACCAATAACCATCCGCAAAGCCATGTGGGTATTCATGTTATAGCACGAACACAAATGGAAAATTGGCGTTTGCTAGGTTGCTCAAGGCATCCCCTTTATGAACCATAGAGATAAAGTTGATGTTATATCAAAGTTGAAGATTTGTGACAATCCACTCAATGCAATTCAAGGTAATCCGATCCTTAAGTCCTCTTGTTAGATAGATGCACACATACTAAATTAAAAACACAACTTACTTCTTGATGTAAAAGTTATACCTAATACATTCCTTTTACTTAATGAATCTTTCATTAGCAAATTGATTGCCGGTACCCGTGT